AGCCGCCGCGCGTGGGTTGCTGCGATTTGTTACATCACCCACATCATGAATTTACCCTGCCGGGGAGCTTATGTTTGCCCCCTTCCATCTACCACTCGTATCCTTCGCTTCACTCCCCTTGTCAACCACTCCCCTTGTCAACCACTCCCCACACGTCGCTGCCATTGATTAGCACCCCCCGTCTATAAAGAGTCACCGATTCATATTGACACGACCTTCTGCTATAGGACAAATGTGACGGGCTCCGTCCGGCTTGTTCGGCCTGTCAGGCCTCCGGCCAGACCTGTTCCTATGATCCTCACGCAAAGAAGCGCGGCTTACCGGAAGGATATGTCCGCGGGCTGGAGAAGCTGTGGGCCCTGTCGATCTGCAACATTGAAGGCTTCGAAGACACCATGCTAGCTCTATTGGGCACTACAGCTGAATCAGCGTATCGGAGAAACAAGCTCATGTCACTCTGGACTGACGATAGCACCTCTGAGTCCTTACACGAATCATGGAAGACGAGTCGACTCTACAGCGCGCTCGAGAAGATGCTGTCGAATTCCGATCCATCGCCTCACCCCTCGGGAAAACGACCTCGAGAAGATCACAAGGACGACTCAACCGGCGGGGGGGCAGAATGGGGATTTCAAATCGATCGGAGCTCGACTGTCCAGTCGCTCGACAATCCGCGTGTAGTTAGGCCCTCCAATTTCTCTCAAGCAAAGCGACCCAGACTGTCATTACCACCTGAAAGTCAACCGCCGTCGCAGACCAAAAACGGGACGCAGACGCTGCAATTGCCGCCACAGACATCGCAGCTCCTGGACATCTATTTTGCCGTGACTCACTCGTGGTTTCCTATTGTTGCCAAGCACAACATTCTTCGTGCTTCCTACTTGTACGCAGGTGCGCCCGTTTCCGTGGCGAAAATGGCCCCCAGTTCGGGTGACCATGCTGCCCTGTGGGCCTTGCTTAGTTATACCATCTCGCAATCCCGGATCAACCCGCCGGACGGGCCTTCAGGAGTGCTTGCCCAGACAAAGGAGTATTATTCGGTTGCTCGTTCCTTGATTCCGACTGAGACTGAACGTTATGAACTTGGACATGTGCAGGCACTGCTTTTGCTCACCCTGGTCAATATGGGATTGGAAGATTGGACGGCTGCTTGGTTGTTGGGGGGTCAAGCAGTTCGGATGGCGATCTCCCTGGACTTGGGTGTCTTCGCAGATGTGCGACGCTCTGACGAATTGCGGCAGGGCAAGGCCGTGTTCCTTGGTTGTTTTGTCGTAGACTCTTTGCTGTCGTTCCGCATGTCGAGGCGACCTTCCATGCATCCTCGGGATCTTAACACGGTGGGTTTATTGGAGGAGGATGGCCTGGAAGAATGGAATTCATGGGCAGACGTGTTGCCCCCCACAACAGTCGGGCAGGGTAAGAGTCCGCGTCGCGGCCCCCTCCTCGCTTTGAGTTGTTTCAATCGACTGGTCGAATTAGCTAGCGTGCTGAACAAGATCGCTCGCGACTTTTCGCCGGGCTCGGGCGCTCCGCTCTTCTCTCAGCAGCTGGTTCTCGAACTCAAGCAGTGGGATGATCGTCTGCCACTTGGATGCCGCTTGATTGGTCCCGAAAGCATCTATCCGGAACGACATTCCTCTTTACTTCCCCACCAGAGTTATCTGGCACTGACTTATGTTGCTACTCTTCTCTGGCTTTATCTCCGCATTGCTCCTCAAGAGCTCGGGTTACCTCGGTCTCAACGTCCAGCTGTAGAAGGGGCGAAAAAGCTTCTCTACCGGGCTCTTCCTATCATCACTCAGCATCTAGAAAATTTCCACCTCTGCGGTTTGCCGCCTCTATTCGAACTGTCCCTACGGACGATAGCCGAGCAAGCTTTCGTCTTACGCAATAAGATCGAATCAGACATGTTCCCGTTTGCACAATGGGCGGAAGCATTGGTGGAGCGAACGACTATACTGGGCACTACTTGGCCTGTCTACCGCTCATTGTGTACTACTATCGACCATTGGAACCGTTCCAAGGAGCTCCCTGGAACCCCAATGGCGTCTTTCCGGGGTGTTGAAGCCGAGGGTGCTCCACGATTAGCACACGGAGTAACCAGTAATCCGTTCACGCCTGCGCCTATACCTACTTCGTCAGTTGGGTATCAAACCTTACCTGGAGAAGCTTCTCTAGGCGCCCAAACGCGCAGAAATGTTTCTGATTTGCGTGACCCTGGTTATACGACGTCCATCACGGGTATCAGCATTCCAGTAGACGGACAGTACATGACGCCAAAGGATACAGTCATGGAAAATGCAGATCTATCGGTGATGGATGCGTCGTTTCAAGCCCCAACAGGAAGGGCAGCGGTTAATATGGACAAGTCTAGCCCTGCGAATGGGCTGAGTGCGGCTCTGGCACGAGCACCACATTCACATCCGACAACTCCTGATTCCTCCGTCTCGGCGTCCTTGATGCCTGGTATATCCGGAGCACCAAGCGATCGTTCCGTTCCCCGGAGCGAACATATGGACTCTCGAGATTCTCGAATCACTAATCCTGCTGAATCTCACCTCGGGTCAACAGGCGATATTGATGCCATTTTCCGAGATCTGGCTTACCTCGATACCACAGAATGGGCGACCAGTCGCGAGGCGGCATTGAAGGATTTTGGTTTTATCGATGACAGCACGTTTCAGGCGTTCTGTCATGATCCGGATCGCCTTGCTGGGTCTCAACCCTTGGTCCATCCGCCCTCAATCGCGGACATATGGCCACCTCCAGGTTTTTTCCCGGAAACATTCCAAGAACCGATGGAGGACACAATGGAGGGTTAGCTGGGGAAACAGCCGACTGGCGTCCCTTGGAAAAGACATGCCTCAGGAATCTCTGTCGGGTTCTGTTGGTAGTGTTGCTTCATGGCTTGTATTACCATTAGCATCATCAGACGCCGCCGTGAGATGGGTCACCTAGTGCCGCGCACTCATCTCTCTGTTATCTTGTTCTATTTAGATACCCAATGAAAGCGCACTACTGGTATAATGTCTCATTTGTTCTCTTGCTGAGATAGACTCATTATCTGGTAGTTCCGTAAATTCCAGGGTGGTGATATGGTGTTAACAGGCAACACTTTCCGTTGGTGGTTGATGTACCATTATGACACAATTCTCCACATTATTGCTATACCTATTATACATTCTCATACTCCAGGAGAACATGCAAAGGCAGGTGGTACTTGACAAAGCAGGACAAGTGTAGGTATTGATTGGTATGACATTGATCGGCTCGGTCAAGCATTCATGCAGGCAGGAGATGTCAATGCTGTTTGCTCTGAGACCATCGGGGAGAGCTTTCCCACCTAGTCTGAGATTCACTTGAATGTAGAGTAACTGGTCGGGTACCTCTCCGCCGCCTTATCTAGATTATTCCGCTTCTATGAGTATCAGTACTAGGTACGCAGAACCCCGCAGTGCGTGTGGTGTGCCATTGGTCAATTGAACCTTGAGGCTTAAATGATGAGCTATCAATACCAAACCCAGATAGATACAGTATCCAGGTATAGGTTTCTCCTCCTCCCCCCTCCCCCACTTTCTCCCGAGTCCCCTTCTCCCCCGTCTCAATTGGCACTCAGAATAAGCACCCCCAAAAAGTGATGCCACTCTTCGCTCCCAATGCGATAACCACCCGCGGCGATCTGCAGAGATCCAGTCCAGATGCCAGGAATTGATATCATTACGTTTCTTCTTCTTGGTTACCACCTACCTAACCTACCTACTAGGTGAGAGCCTAGCTAGGTACCCTTGCCCATGAGTTCATCTCCTCACTTTCCCCCCCTGTATCGGCATGAGCTTCATCTCTAGGTTTTTTCCCCCTCTCTTACATCGTCGGGAAACTCCTCAGCCCAATCATTAGCGTCTGATCTTGTTCTTCGGTTTGAAAACTTCTGCCGTGTTGCTTGGGACTCCGAAGGATGAAGGAATAGTACCTAGTCTTATCGTCGCAATCTCATGGACGGGTACACAGTACCGGGGATACGTTATCTAAGGAGAATATACTGAGGACCTGCGATTCACGTCGAAGTCACTTCACTTACTTAATTACCTACTGTACTGTACAGTACTCCCAAGATACTGGAGTAAGGTACCTAGCTGGCCTCAAGGGTCCCTGTCGAGTTGCTTTCCCAATTATAGGTTTATTCTAGACTATTGACCTACGCAATAAGGACGGTGATTGCCTCGGGTTGAGATCCCAACCCCGTCAGCGCTGCTCGATTTGATCCCGCTCTGCCATCAAATGGATGGTGTAAACCTGGAGTTGGAATTATCTGCCCCTTCCGTGCAGACATTGCCTACATATAGCATACATGGGACTGTACAGGAAGTCCGTCGCCCTTGATAGTCGCCTCAGGCTGGTGTGATTGTCGCGAACTGCTTCTTATCTCACCCCCTCGGCTGACGGTGGAGACGACCCATCTCCGACTGGCTAGCTGACAGGCTAATGACACCGGTCATCGAAGAATCGTGGTGTGTTCTGATTGATGCTCGGTTGCCTTGGGTAAATGATTGGTTGTGCAAAGCCACGGTTGGAGACATGGATGTGGGAATCATTGCCGATTCGTTGCTCGGTGGTGTGCCCGATGAGTAAAGTAGTAGAGCATAATAATGAATCACAGATACCCACCTGTTACTCTTCCTCAAGGCAGCAGTTTGTGATCAAACGTTGCATTCGCATACTGGGGTCCCACTGGGCTCATTACCACTTCTTGATTATTCATGATATACTCATTGTCATTACCGCCGATATACATCGAGCTCTCCATGCTGAAGACTTCCGCCTCATTAAACACGCCAGACTGAAAATAAGATGCCTGAACTCCCCCACATACCTCCAGTCACGCAGCTTTTCATAAACCCAGCTCAGTATCATAACCAGATGAATGGAACCCCGCCTCTTTTACCCTTGGCGGATGCAAAAGAAGGACAGCGCAGGAACGTCATCATAACCCGGAACGCCTCGGCCTATCTTGCCATTCGTGTAGTATATAAGTAAATGCAAATAAGAGATGTTCTTCTTCCGGCTGGAAGGTGCTTTCAGGTGGTGCATTAGGAAAGTAGAGCGGCATCACCGTCGCCAGCCCACATTCCATATCACGTGAGCGATGTCTTTGGCTGTATTCATTGTATCGATAAAGCGCTCAAGGACGCTGCCATTCGAGTTCTCCTCGTCTTCGGTGGGGGTGGACCCCGTGGACGTCGAGCCGAAGTAGTGACCAAGCTCTTCGTCATCTTCTGGATTGACGAACCAGGGACGGTTGTGATGGGATGGTTCCTGGAATCCCAGATTTGAATCCCACTCAAAGGTATAATCGCCGCCGTCGTCGTCCAAGAGGAAGTTGGCGGAAGTAGAAGGTCGAGTAGTCTGTTCCAATGGAGTCGAGGAAGAAAAATAGAAGGACCAGCGGTCCATTATCGAGCCTGCCGGAGGCTCGGGGGTGTCTCCACGATATTTCAACGTTGTCGAGGGAAGCGGAGCAATGGTTTTGTTATCGCCACTAATACTACCACGGGGTGTGCCCCGATCGCTCCGTCCTATGTTAGGATGAATCTGTTTCATCATCACGACACCATCCTCCGACAAAGAGTCATCGCAAGCCCTCTGCTCTTCATCGTCTTCCTCCTTTGCTTCTACAGCAATACATTGCACTACCTCATTGTTGAAATGGATATGTCGTTTTTCACTGGGTGACCCAATGCCTGACGACGTTGTCTCGGTTGTGGTTCCACGGATGGACACTGGAACAAGAGTAGCGGCCAATTGGTTTGGCACCTGCTCAAGGTCCGAGGGGCAGCGCTGGAGATATGGCCGACTTCGATTCGTCTCCGCCTCCTGTGCTTTCAGAATAGCCCCTGCGTGCTGCAGGAGAGTATGCTGGGATAGAGAGCGTTGGAGGATGGTTTCAGATGCTGTTCTCTTTTTCAAAATCGGCTTCCTATCCGGATAAAGAGTTGGCGTTGCAAATCGACTTGGAGGTGGGGAGTCATCCAATGTCGGTTCTCGTCTATCGCATGTTTTCAACGGGCCATACAGCCATGTCACGTCACAGTCCTTAAGCCTAGACAAAGTTCTTAGGATGTCTGTCGATCAAACAAAGAGGGCGAGATGAGAGAACCAACCAATTTAGAGTCTCTGGGGATACCGTGCCCAAATTCATCTTCAGCTTGCCCCATGTTCGCCATGACGCATTCTCCAACCTCACTCCGTTATCATAGGCGCTTCGCCGGGCGACCACATACCGCCACGAGGCCCATATGTCCTCCTGCCGCCACTCGTGGGATAAATAATCAACATGTCTCGACGGCTCATCTTCGATTGAACTGTCGTCGGCAGCTGGTGTCTGCGCTCTCCACCGCTGAAGGTCCGCCGATGAGTCTATTGATATTTCACTGAGAGCTTCCGGTTCTTTTGGAATGAACTGGTGAGAATCATACGATGGTAGTATCAATTCACTGTCATCCTGGTCGTCACCCACATTCAAAGACAAACTGCTGAAGGCGGTGGCTGTCGACGAGAAATGGTCCGCAGCAGAGAGTGCAATATCCGGAGAGGGTGGGTCGCGAGGGTGCATCGATCCGATCGGATTGGCATAGGCTCTTGAATGAAAGCCATGAACAGCAGACTTGGCGGTAGCGATCTCTGGCTCCTCGATGAAGTAGGTCTGAGTGATAGGGGACCGAAAAGAATCTGGAGAGAAGCGGGAGTGCTCCTCTCGGGAGGCGGGAAGAACGGCAGTCATCTTTGCAATAAGATCATTCACGTCAATGGAGGATTAATGGACTAGCGAGCTTGTGAGAGGCGAGAAGGTTGGTGCAAGTGATGTGAGGAGCGAGCGATACTAGACACAAGCCGACGACGAAAAAAAGACCTGACAGTGAGAATTACAAAGAGTCTGCAAGCAAAGCGAACAGCCTCGGATCTAGCGAAAGCGACGAAGGGCTGAGATCATGGCGCAAAAATATGGTCAATGGTGGAGGGCAGTATATACGGGACGAGTCAATCTTATACCACGGGTCGAAGAACGAGCTAGAGAGTCCGAAGAGGGGACGGAATGGCTGTTCCAGCTCCCCGCTGGGTGAACAGACTTGGAACCGACCGAAGAGCGCTGGTCAGGGATTGTGGAAGAATCGGTCGCACGGAGGATCGGAGAAGAAAGTAAGTGAGGTAGTGGGAAAGGATCTAGATTGAAGGAGGGAGGGGGGGGGCGAACAGTGTGGAAAAGGCCGGGGGCGAGGAGGGGGAGCAGCAACCGCAGTGGAGGAGTAAGTAGTAGATAGGATAGAAGCACAGGAAGAGGTAACGCGTAAAATAACGTTAGGAGAGGAGAATAACGGGAAACCGGGAAGAGACAAAGCTCCCGCACTTGATAGTAGTGGCGGCGGGTGGAGATCGGGGTGGCATCAAAAGGGCGTTCATTCGCGATCAGTTATTCTGGGATCTCGTGTTGGGAGATATTATTCTCTGTGTCAGTCTTTTTTTGAAACTGCTCACTGGCTTTTAGCTCAATGACAGAGGGCGGGGCAATTGATAGAGGACTAGACGTGGTCGAGACCGACTTGAGTGACTGTTGTCTTTGATGAGGTCTGCGGAAAGAGCGAAGGGTGGGAAGACTCGGCTCAGTGCTGATGAGATTGACGTTGACGCGTGGGTTGGAATGGATGGACGCAGGGTGAAGTGCGAGTGGTGGATCCGTTAACAAGGGAAACTAAAAGAGGTACAAAGTGTCATACTAGGTAACTACCTAGTAGTTATTTAGCAGGAAAAACATTAGTCAGTTTGTTGCTAATCCTAGAGGCTAGTTAACATGCAGTCTTAAGAGTTACTCGTAACTTAGAACTTAAAAGGAATCCTGGCAGAAGTTCAGACATAATCTCCGTAATCTTGAAGAAAAGAAGGCCCCCCTAGAAAAAAAAAAGAATAGAGAAAAGAATATCGACCGCCTGCTGCATTTGGACTTGGAGGAGGGGAAATACTACATACTCATACATAGTACGGAGTACGTACATACGAGTAGCACTAAGTACAAGTAAATACATTGTAGGTACTCCGTACTTGTACGTACGTACATACATACATAAGATGAGTTCAATTGCCACCGGTTTAGTCTCCGTCAAGAATCAAGATAGAAAAAATGGGCGCGGGTGGAGATCAAGCTGCGACACTAGGCTTGTTGTAACCTAGTTCTCTCTACCGTTGGTGTAACTTCTTGGGGGTGGAGAGACTCCGGAGACTCTTCTAGAGCGGAAAGAGGGGAAACTGTCGCTGACTCATTGATTTTAGATGCTTCAGGGAGGGTCTAGACAGAGGTACACTGTAACTTAGTACTACCTGTACTTCCAGCACTGGGTTTTCAACGAATCTACTATGAATAAGTTACCTCTTACTACTTACCTATACTACAGAGTGCTTCACCACTGTAATCACAGAGAGGTATTTGTTAGTTAAGTGGGTTATCATCCAGCACAGTAAAGTGGTTGACAACCGACTTTCCAATTTAACAATAGTCAATTTAGATGATCGCATCATTCAGTGGCAGGGAATGATGGAATTGTCTGGCTTTGAACGTTCCTTTCAATTGGAACATCCTGAATGCAACCAAACTCAGGTTGGTCACTCCGTTCGGAATGAAAACTCTAGGCAGTCACTCATGTACAATACATCTCCCAAATTGGATGATCGCCCAGAAAGGCGGGGGTGCGTCTAGTTTGGTACGTATGGGTACTTCAGTCGGATTGGACCTACCTCAGTTAGTTTTATGTAGGTACAGTACCTTTTCCCCTCTACAAACGGGGAATAGACAAACACACACACACACACACACACACATGAAGAGAGAGAGAGATTCGGACAAAATTCATGTTTCTTTGCGTCTCGATACGTCCCCTTGTTTAATTGTTGTAGGATACAATAACTACATATACATCCGTACCTTGTGGATGTCCCGAGCATGGCACGGATTTTCTGCCCGCAGGGCTGCTGCCAACGAGCTAGTGATAACTAAGTACAAGTGCGGGTAGTTACAGTAAGACTGACAGTCCGAATCCCGCCGCAATCGATCCGAGCTATTCGGATTGGAATAGAACGAGCGATAGGTGCTGTGCAGTACTCCGTGCTTCGTCCATAGCACTCGAGTGGTCTAGGTAGTCTACTTCTCGTAGTACAGTACAATACTACTCAGTACTAGCCAAAGATACAGACGAGTTCTCTCCCTCCCGCTCTTTTGCCCCTCTCGACTCTATCAATGGTGATTGCCCCCTGCAAGTTGTACTGTACCTTGGCTGCATCTTAATCTATTCAACGGTCCAAGCGCATTGGCAACTGGAACCACTTTCTCAACAGGATCGATCTAGACTCATCCACTTTCTGAACGAAGTATATGTACAACGCTGTAACTACTCGACTTAGGTAATATTAGCATTATGATGCACAAAGAAATAAAAAGGCGCAATCAGTCAACGGTTGGTGACAATAGGGCTTCCAAGCCTCTCGAGGGTACACATATGATTGGGTGCGCGTTGATACCTAAGCACCACAGGCTGAGTCAAATCTGATTTTACCGCAATTATCCCTCACCCTCGGGGGAAAATTACCACCCCAGAAGGGTCATGATGTGAAACCTAGACCAAATCACCAACAAAGAAAAAGGGGAGCAAGCACCTGAGGGTTAAGTATGGTATAGTTTTCAAGATCCATCGGGCGGCTCGATGCACGTCAGTAAACGGCTGGCGGGGACTCGGGACAGTGGAGACTTTCCAAGGTCGGGAAAACCTTGTGCAGAGACCTTCCGATAATCCAATCATTCCCATGAGGGCCTATCCTACGCTTCTCTTTGGTCGATGGGCTTCCATGATAAGAAAGCCAGAAACCGGGGCCCGGTCTGCAAGGCAATTGACTAAGTTAGTACTTACAGTACATGCAACTGAGCTTCCCTTTGCTTTCCATTCCAAGGTTATCAGCTTATGACTCCCATGCAATGGGTCTTTTTCCACTCCGTAGAGCACCATGAACAGAATGCCGAATCGGTGACAGCTCGAGTGCAACGAAACACCCTGTGCAGGCACCAATGTTCCCGATACGGTCTCGAACCACCCAGCCAAGCGAGTTGTTTCTCCTCCAGGATGTATGTCAATCATCATGAATGTTTGTTAAGGATATAAGGATAACAGCGATATCGATTGGTTACAAGATCGTTGCTTAGAAAAGGCAACGTGCCTATACCAGGTATTGTAGTTAGACGATTCATCTCTAAGCCCGGGTTCCCTAGGGGCTGTGATTGATGTGTCTCGAGGTCGACTAGCTAAAGGACTGCTCATCCCTCTGATCTCGTCGCTATATCATCCCTGGCTCGAACCAGGGCCATTAGCTGCGCTCGACTGGTGTCTGTTGAGGGGCAAAATCCAATGCGGCAATGCCCTGTACTCCCCTTGTCTGATGAGAGGGGCTCTTGTCTTTTCAACGAAACTAGGGTCGCTTTGATTCGCAAAGCTTAAGGGTTTCTATTCCCATCATGAATCGGAGGCAAGTGCAAGCATACTAGTCTCACGCGTGCTTTATACAGGTGCTGAAACACATTTGCTCGAGACCCAAGAGCAGAAAATAAGAAAAATAAATCCGAATGGAAGGGATAAGATACAAAAACACAGGCACCCAGGTTACATATTATACATCAAGACCGGAGCGGTCTTGATCTCTTAACATGCTGCATGGAAATCTGTTTCACAAGTAGAAACCGCACCCATCATTTGATAGTTACACATTCTAGGCTGTGAAACCTATGTCACTCAACTACATGTAAGGCCATGTTATCGACTTGCTTTGTTTGCTATCGGAAAGCGCAGGCCCCTTGCCAGGTAATAGTAATACTCTTCAAGAGTCGTGTGAATGTACAAAGTGGAAGCTTCGTGATCCGTGCGTGAACTTAGCCCTACCAAAGCGAGTCTGTCCTGGGAAGAAGGCTGGTTTTGGGAAGAGACCGATTTCAGTATACCTCTAGCGGAAGCATGCTCGTATTGTAGACGAGGAACCAGCCGTCGGCTCCTATGAGGCAACCCCGACAGCCACTTGCGATATTGACAACCTCCGGCCACTTTGCCCCGAATAGGCTTTGGGGGTACTATGGGCCGAGGATTGATCTCCTCGTCATTCCGATTGACGATCAGTCTATCAATCGAAGGGTGCATAGCGTTGCTCTGGCCAGCTCGGTAGGGTTCTCCGGAATTGGGATTGTGCCTATTAGTGCCTGAGGTGGTAGGCTTCACTTTTCCGCTTGAGGTAGCACATCTGGCTCTTGTTCGAAGCGTTATTTATGGTTGGCTTGGGAGTGAAGGCGTCGGGTACTGCAAAGGGCTTCCTTGCGTTCTGCTTGGCCCCTATTCGCCTGTCTCGGGCCTCCGGGAGTTTGCACCATTGCTTCTAATTTTTCTGTCTCACTGCCACCACTTCCCTCTGCCTACTAGCTCCTCTGCTTGATGACTATTGTATTGAGGGTTCTTGGAAGACTCTCCCAGCCACAATCCCATTGGAGCCACGGGTGTCAGCAGCGGATAGTCGACGTCTCACTTCAAAATCATCGGGTCTCGCGTAACACAGAGAGGGTATAAGAAGGCAAAGAGAGCAAGCTTACTTTCTATAAATTATACATACTTAAAAAACCTCACGAGTATGAACTAGAATCAGATAGAAACGTCACTTTATACCTTTAGTTCTTTCATGATTGTTCTCCTAGCTCGTTATACTCGAACCTGAGCGGGTTTTATCTTGCAAACAGAAGTACCATCGCCTCAGCATGTTTCTTCCGGTCTCTTATAATCCTTAATCATGTCTGTCCAGCCGATTATGCCTGCGCTGGC